AAAAAAAAAAAACAATGTCCGTTTACTTGTCGTTGACGACCAGCGCGGAGATGAAGGCGGCACCGATGCCACTGCCGTCCTTCGCGAGGGTCGCCCGCACGTCGCACTCAGGGCCCAGAATGGTGTTTATGTTGTCCTGGAGCAGGCGGCGGAACGACGGCAGCTTCTCAAAAACAGACCCATCTATGGCAACCGTCGCACGGCCTTGCGTGTGCGTCTTCACGAGCGGAGCGCTGCAGAACATGGCGCTGACCTGCGCCGCGCGTCCGCGCACCAGGCGGCACACCTCACAGATCACGTGCAGGTCCTTCGTCTTCTTCACATCAACGTTGAACAGCTTGCGGATCACACCACGCGTGAACTGCAGACCGGGCATGCGGTCCGCCGCGACCATGCCCATGAACTTCGCCTCGAAGCTCCACGGCTTCTTCATCGCATTCACGAGGGCAGAGGGCAGGCAGTGCAGCTGCGCCAAGTGCACAATCATGCGGCGGGCAATCTCACCAAGGTACATGCCGGACACGATCTTCTCCTGCGCCTGGAAGCCATGGTTCAGTGTGATGGCGTCCATCGCCTCGTCGTAGGCAGTGATGGGCAGCACAAACTTGTACTTGGAGTCGAAGTTCCCGCACTCCATGTTGATGGGTGTCTGCGTCTCGCCACGGGCGGCCACGGCGGGGTCCTTCGTCACCGCAGAGGCCTTCTCAAAGTAGCACGCGTTGGAGCCGGTGCCAATGATGACACCGACCTGCGTGTCGGGGTCTTCAAAGTAGCGCGTCACCAGCGTTCCGACGGTGTCGTTGCACAGCGCCACCACCTTCACCTTCACGTTCACGCGCTTCAACGACGTCTGCAGGAGTTCCACCACATCCTTGCCCTCCACACCCTTCGTCGAGAAGCCCTTGGTCCACTTGATCAGCAGCCCGCGGTTCACGCTCTTCTGGTCAGTGGGGAAGCTGAACGTGAAGCCGAGTGGCACTGTGCGGTTCAAATCTTCCGGTGCCTTCTGCTGCATCATCGTCTTCACGCTGTTGGCAATGAAGTCGAAGAGGTCAGTCGCACCGCCTTGAAGCGCCTGCTGCGGGATCACAAAGCTGGAGTCCACGCGGCCCACGACCTTGCCCTCTTTGCACACAACGCGCAGCACGCGGAAATTCGTGCCACCAAGGTCAAGTGCGTAGAAAGCGCCTGTCGCGGTTTTCGGCTTCGCCTTGTAGACGTACGACGGGAGCATGCGAACTGTGCTTTCGCGGCCCTCGAGCCCCTCGATCATCTCGTGGAGCATGTACATCATCAGCTGCGTGAGCTGGTCCTTGCTCACCGTGAACTGGCTCGCCAGGGACGCCATAGCCATCCGCTGCTTCACGGACCGCATCGACTCGCTGTCATTTTCCTTTATGGCGATGTGCTGGAGCAGGTTGTTGAGGCGGTTAGACATGGCTGGATGATTCTTTTCTT